TCACAGAAGAAGAAGAGATTTGAGGCAACAGCGATGTGATTCTACAGAATGATGCTGAGAATGACATGGATGGTGTATATGAGTAACGAGGAAGATTTAAAGAAAATGGAAACAAAAAGTATACTTATACTTAGAATCAGAACGAGACAGTTGAAATTTCTGGAACGCATAATAAAGAAAGGAGGCTTGGAGAATTTGATACTTACAAGACAAAAAAGGGAAACAGCTTGTGCAAACGAACAGCAGAAAAAGGACGGAGACGCATAGCCAAGAGGGAAGCATTACTTAGAGCTATAAAGTATATTGCAAAGAGTCATGATCGCCCGCGCCCTGAAAGGGCGTGACACATAAAAAGAAGAAAAAAGAACCTAACAATTTATTGGATTTTAGCTTATTTAGATGGAAGCGTTGGGCGCGAAAGAAAGCAAGTTTGAGGTAACATACATAAAATCAGTTCTCACCCCTGTCATTAGTTTTGATTTAGACACCCTTCCCCACACATCGGCTCCAAAATTTATATACTAACATGTACTAATATTACACCCCAACACACAAGCCACCAATCTGCCACTGGGTGTCATGTTACTAGCGTTTACTGCTGGAGGCCCGCTGTCGGACCGCGGTCGTGTTCCTCTCAGCAATGTTACAATGGTAACATTGCTGAGAAAACCACTAGAGGCCTATCGGTGGCTGCCACCAGAGGACCGCTGGTGTTGCCATCCGCGGCCCACCAGCGGGCCACTAGCAGCTTGCGTGCAGGGACCGCAACAACGTCAGACATAACTTTAATTTCACCAATGCCAGCCTTATCAATGAAGAACATAACTCTTTAAAGAGAAAATATGAAAATATTTATAGCAACATTACCTACTATTAAGACACGTTTAAAAAACTACATCACCATTTTTCTATAGATCCATTATTCATGAATATAAATTTTCTCTTCCGAATACATAAAAATTATTATATATACAAAATACGCACTAGATATACTCTAATGAAAAATTGTTCAAAATATCCTACAGCGTTTCACTAACCTTTAATTACTTTAACATTCAGAATGTTTTCTTAAACTTGTTTGAATATTATCTGTTACTTCCTTACACCTGACACGTATCCAATCAAAACATCCAACTGCATCATACTAACTTTTACGCACTTTAGCATCGAGAAGGTTTGCCACACATATTGAATATTATCTGTTACTTTCTTACACGTGACACGTATCTAACCAATAAGAATTAACCAAACACAACATACCATTAAGCTGCGTCACTTTGCTTTTTATCGTTGCTTATCATTTCTATCATGATCTCTGACGAAACTTTAATAAAGTGAAACATGTTAGATTGGGATCTGTTTCCTACTTGTTCTTTATCCTATCATTTTGTCGGGTTCCTATCCATAATCGATATATATATATATATATATATAGTAATAACGCTTGAAATTTAATATAATTCTTGGTCTGCGTCGTGGCCGAGACAGTTGAATATTTTCTAATGACTTTAGTTGTATGTCCGAACATCAGCTAAAAAAAAAAAAATACTGATTTTCATTATGAGTTGGAGCTACACAGTCTTCCCTTTCCAGTTTCGATAGCGTCTCTGTGTTCTTTTGAGTGATGAATTATTTCTCACTCTACAACCTTTTTCCCACAGACGAAACGTCGCAAGACTCTCGCTGCTTTACCGCTATTTCCATGGCAAATGTCGAGGCGGACTACATTCATTAGTTCCACCAGTTCTAACAATCACGGTTAGACCAGGCATACCACGCACGTTGTAGCAAATGACCTTCGTATTCCTTTGGTGAGGTGTAAGTCCCACTCTAGCAGCTTCTTCCTACAAACCGCTGCCTTGTGGAACCGACTTCCATGAGGTTGCTTCCCCGATCATTACAATCTTAATTTGCTCAAGACTAGAGTTAACCGTTATCTTCCACATATATCCGCATAGGCTCTGCCTCTTACTCTGTAATCCTCTATCTCGTGTGGCTCTCGGGCCTTCTACTGGGTGAACATCATTGTAAAAAAGTATGAAATCTAATGAAAAATGTGGTCAACTGATATCTATCCTAAACCTCCGCCGAATATGCACTTCTTACTTCTAACTTTCCCCTCACTCTCTGAAACCATCTACCTTGAGTGGCTCTCAGGCCTTGTACTGGGTGAACATCGTTATAAAAAAAAGTATGAAATTTAATGAAAAGTGTGGTCAACTGATAGCTATCCTAAACGTCCTCCTAATATGCACTTCTTACTTCCAACTTTCCCCTCGCTCTCTGAAACCCTCTACCTTGAGTGTCTCTTGGGCGATGTATTAAGTGAACTAACATTAAATAAAAAATGCTTCTTAGCTTCGAGTTTAAGATGCGGACGCACCCCGCTTCAAACATCAAGGCTTTCGAACGTAATAAAATAATTAAATCCTTGACCCCTCTTCACCTCATGCGTAAACAAATTGCAAACAAATGTTGTTAATTTTCAAGTTCTCTCTAAGAACGCTTCGCCTCAACAATTATCTCCACAAATAAACACTTACAAACCGGTCCAGCTAAATTGTTTAATGCTGGGATTCTCAAAGTGGGCGATATCTCCACACATGGGGGTGTTAGGAAGATCCAGGTAAAAAGAGAGAGGATAGAAAAAAAAATAGGTTGGTAAGGCGCGGTGTGGTGTAGTGGATAACAGATCGGAGTGAGAAATCGGAGAGTTCGAATTCCAGTCGGGTTCAATGCAATCATTTAAAAGCAAATACACTTGGGAAAGGTATGAATCTATATCTAATCATCTTAGATATAGGTTGAATAGCAGGACAGACTGGGCCCTATAACCTTGACTGGCAACCAATGTACCACAGAAAGAAATGGCATCCGACTACGGGAAAATCTTCTTCCTAGTCAGTCAAAAGTCGAAAGAGACATGATCTCTCAAGCGTGTATCACGTATGGCACATAACTGACTGACTCTTGTTATCATGGTTGAATATCAGGACAGACTGGGTCCTATAGCCTTGATTGGCAGCCGGTCTATCGTAAGAATAAACGGCAACGTACTGCGGGAAAATCTTCTTCCTAGTCAGTCAAGAGTCGAAAGAGATCTCCCCAGCGTGTATCAAGTATGGCATTTTACTGATTGAAGGCACAAAAGAAGAGCATTAGAACCAAGTAATATTTTCTTTTTTTTGCAAAATCTATATCATTTAGTTAATTAAAAATCTCATCCATTTGGAATTTGTTTTATGTAAAGGTAAAGTTTGAACGTTTGTTTGTGTTCTGCTGACATTATCTGCACATGTAGCGTCATACATCAGCCACATCAGACGATCGACGTATGTAGAAGTCAATTCTCTAGATTTGTAGGTGTAACGATATAGCCAGAGATGTTCGTCTGGTGACATCTAATAGTATGTAAGGAAATGCAAAATGTATATCGTATATACTTGAGTATAGTGCAATTTGTTTATGACCAGTTATTTACGCAAAAAAAAGCAGGTCGCATTATACGCAGCTAATTTTTTTTGAAGAGGTTAAAAAGCATACATTTTCGGTGACCAGTTGCACTATACACTGGGAAAATGCAAAAAAAAAAAAAAAATAGGAAGTTTCACTTTAGATGAAGTTGGCTTATACACAATTATATACGTTATATGCGTTTATAGTGTTAAAGAGAGTTGTTTTTAATTTGTAGTATATCTAATAACAAGAAAGAAGTGGGCGTGACAGGGGAGAGAGTTAGGGATATGATTCGGGAGCCAAAAGGATGGCTTCTAGAAAATATTTTGGGAACCGCTTGTTTCAGGTATTTGTAAGTCTATGCAAAGCTGGTAACAGGCCCAGGGTAGATGGAAAATACAGACTCCAGTTTCAAATTGATCTTTTTTTTAATCATTTATAAAGATTTTCTGAATCGTTTTTAAAATAATATTTTGCACTAAAAGATCTCTCTTGTCAAGGGTTGCCAACTGTCTTTTATTGTAAAAGATGGGCCTTTATTTATCTCTTTCTGTCCTTTGTTGAATTTGGCAGAGGTAAAAAACAATTTCATTTCCTGCATTTCATTTCTTTGTTAGTTTAGCGGCATAGCAACTCCTTATTTGGCATTTAATGCCGAAATTAAATTTTCATAGCATCAATAAGTTCTTTTCAAAAAAAAAAAAAAAAAAATTTACTGGTAAGTTTGTTTTTTAAAAACGCATTGTTGGTAATTTTATTTTATTTTTCAAAAATGTATTGCTGTGTAATGTATTATTTTATTTTTCAAAAATGTATTGCTGTGTAATAGTTCAGTTGACATCTGGACATAATGCTCCACACCCTACTCCCGCTCATGAACAAAGATGTTCATGAGCGGGAGTAGGGTGTGGAGCATTATGTCCAGATGTCAACTGAACTATTTTTTTAAATTTGTAGGATGAGGCAGCTAAGGTGATTTGGGAGTCATATTTAGATACATCCTCAATTACAGACCATCTGAGCGCACTGCGTAATCCGAACTGAAGGTATTTCTAACCCCGGCCCATACCTGCAAGGTTATGTGCTGTTTTTATCAAAATCTGTCACCATATCACGCACATTTGGCTGTGATGGATGTGCCTTGTGTACCCTTATAAGACCGGGTGAGATGATGGGTACATTGGATTTCGTATATTTGTACTTTGTTGGCGTGATCGTCTCATATTCAATAATAATAACAATAGGGACAAAAAATCATCGTCATCATCATCATTATAATCATCATTTTATTCTTCTTAAACTTTTTCCCATTTCTTCTTACTATTATTATCAGCATTGTTATTATTCTCCCTCATCAAGTTCCCCTGAAGAACGGCGGCTAACACCAAATTACTTTAGAACTCAAGCACCTTCTGTCGAAGTGGAAAGAAAAAAAAGGAAAAAGATTTTTTTTAATATTTTTCTGCACGTGCGAGAAGAATACTTGACCTTTGATATTCTATGAGAAGAAGATTATAAAAAGGGAAGAGAGAGTTTAAAAGCACATGCTGAACACCCCCACCCACCGACCAACAGATTTTGTTCAGACTTCGAGCTCACCTCGGGACAAGTGCGACTTGACCGTAAGTTTGGAACATCGCCCTACGGCGATCAGTGAAGTAGTGGTCCTTTATTTTATTTTGGCTTCTCAGTCTCCTTCCATTATCTTGATCTAGAGAATGACAATATAGAAAGAGAGAGAGAGAGAGAGAGAGAGAGAGAGAGAGAGAGAGAGAGGGAGTAAGTGAGAGTGGCAGAGAGTATATGTGTGAGAGTGTGTGTGTTAGAGAGAGAGGGTGAGAGAGTATGTGTGTTAGAGTGAGGGAGAGATTGTGTGAGAGAGAGTGATAGAGTGAGGGAGAGATTGTGTGAGAGAGAGTGAGAGAGAGAGTGTGTGTAAGAGAGAGTAAGTGTGTGTTAGAGAGAGTATATCTGCTTGTCCGTAAGTGCGTGTGTATGTGTGTGTGTGTGTGTGTGTGAGAGAGAGAGAGAGAGAGAGAGAGAGAGAGAGAGAATTTGTGTTTATGTGTAGGACGTGAATGAATAGTCGTGATGATCATAGAGAAATCGAGATGTTAGTTCAAAGAAACCAAGTCAAGTTTTTGGAAATCTGTGTCCAACCCGAAATTTGAATGACCGTTCTGAAGGAAAACCCTTTGCTCAAGCCCGAAATCAAAAGATATTTATCGCCGATTATAATCACCTCGACTATGACGTGTAATCTTAACTAATTCGTAAATATGAAAGTCCTCCCATAACCCTTCAACCATCTTGACAGTGGAATAAACATTAAACTGAATTGCCAAATTTGAAATAAAAGAGAAAATGTCGAGAGATGTTCTTTGACTATTTTTGTCCCTAGTCCCATGTACGTGCGGGACTCACATATTAGACTCGGCCTTGTGTTACATTCCGTCCGAATGAGCGTGCACGTTCCTTTCGACCAACGAGCCGAGTTTATCCAGTCGATTTCATTGCGTTCACTTTCATACAAATGCTACTGGGAAAGGCATGAATCCATCTCGGTAAAATTAGGACCCAGAAAGAAATTTTAAAAAGAAGCATCATTTCTGGTATAAAAAAACCTGAATATTCCAAAAACAGCATTAAAAAATTTGCGAAAACTTACTGCTTAGGAGATATCGACAATTATTGTTGGGTCTTTTGTGTTTCGGCTACAGCCTGGCCAACCATTTGGTCTTTCCTAATAATTGTATAAACATTTTGACTTTAAAAATTTGCTTTTATTAAGTGTGGGGCCTTTTTCAGCGTAGAAGTGGAGGTACATAACAAAGCATGATTACAAAAATAACAAAAAAAATTGCGGAAAGTCCACCTTTTAGGGGGGTATTGACAATCTTATTTGGGTCCTGGGCACAGTTTAGCTGCTTCAATCAGAAATCTGTGAAAGCGCTTGGATGTTTTTTCTTTTTAATTATCCAGTAAATTTTTCTACTAAAAGTCAATGCAACTGGTGTAAAAACGTAATCTGCCCACTAAATGGCCAGTACATGACCGATAACATAATATACAGAGCTAGGATCAATTCAGACGACAATGTTAAATATTAATTTGGTTCCACCGAGAAATGGAAATTGCGTTTTTACAAACATCAAACGACGCTAAACAATATTAAATATAAAAACTGCACAACACTTTCAAAGTATTTTTGGCGACTAAAAAGCAAGTACAAGAACCCATCCATTAGCTGGGCGATAATTGCCAATGCTAAAGCACATTATGGAAAGGGAGACAGATGTAACTTATGTCTTTTAGAAAAAAACTTATCGTAAAACACTTAAATATCCCATAATTTACTGAATAAAAGAATTGAATTGATTGCTACATGTAAACATAAAAGTAAACATCTGCTCAAGTACATTGATATCGATTAAAATAGATTATAAAATAGATTTTACTATACGCCTTAAATTAATATGTAGCACCCGTCATTAATAGCATTTTTATATATCTATATACACACATATATAATTCCATATTATAGATCGTACTTGATTATTTTATTACGTGTGTGTATAAATAATTTCACCTTTGTAAGTACAAAGCTAGGTTTAAAATGCATTATATATATCGTTTTAACATATAATTAAGTTAACATCGTGAGAGCAAAGATTATTCCATAAGACATTACATTAGTAATATATTTTAATAAACAACAATTATTTCTATTACCACTAACGACGGTTTATATGCAAATATGGGACTAATCTCCCTTGATACATAGCGTAATTTTTTTTAATTAAAATTTTATTTAAATATTTCGTCTTTGAAACTTAAGACTTTGATCGATATAAATTATAAATAATTGATTTAAATATTATAGACAACAATAATAAAATGAACACGTCTTAGGACACAATTTTAAATCAACACCACGAGAACGCAAATAACACTTAACGGTCAGTGAGTGGCCTTCACCTGAAGAATGCATATCCGCATGGAACTCCAAGTCGTGCTATCGACGTGGGATTTTATGTATATTCATTTTTTTTTATTAACAACAGATTTCTAAATTTTTATCAATATTTTTGTTCCTTCACTTTTTCTTTTCACTTTATTTTATTTAATAATATTTTATTATTATATATTCCACTTTCCCCCCGTATTTCCCCTTTTGCTACAACTTCCTACACGCGAGATCAGAAATCTGTGAAAGCGCTTGGATGTTTTTTCTTTTTAATTATCCAGTAAATTGTTCTACTAAAAATCAATGCAACTGCCGTAAAAACGTAACCTGCCCACTAAATGGCTAGTACATGACCGATAACATAATATACAGAGCTAGGATCAATTCAGACGACAATGTTAAATATTAATTTGGTTCCACCGAGAAATGGAAATTGCATTTTTACAAACATCAAACGACGCTAAACAATATTAAATATAAAAACTGCACAACACTTTCAAAGTATTTTTGGCGACTAAAAAGCAAGTACAAGAACCCAGATACACGCGAGATGTCTTCCCCCTCCTCAACCCATAACTCTCTTCATCTATCTTTACAATTTCACTCCCCTTCACGATACACACTAGTATCAATAGATCTGCCTAACACTTTTACGCCGATCAAAATTTTAAATTTAACTTTATTTTCATAAAAAGTTTCGCACGTGGAGGAATCAAACAGATATCAGGTGTTTGCTAATAATAAGATTTCCACTGGAAAATGCCCCATCTACAAAAACATGTGTCGATTAGTAATTCCCATTTCTCTGTTCCTCAGACCGTTGATGAAGTACACAGACGCGTCCGAAAATTCCGAACATAAAACATTTTTTTACGTGCTTCATTTTTGTCATATGGTTAATATTCAATAAATGTTTATCGTACTAATTATATTGGCACCCTTTCGTTTGTCCTTGTTTTATTAAACAACCTATCTATTTACACACACACACACACACACACACACACACACACACACACACACACACACACATATATATATATATATATATATATATACAGACATGACAGAATTGAATAGACGCTCACAAAAACCGTTTATTTTATTAAACAAGTAATTTATACAAATGAAGTAATTATAAATGGTCATAAATTTAATAACTAATACTTGGTTGACATCCCTTTTGCTTTTTTTAATGCAAGGACCCTTCTAGGCATGCTAGCGATGAGTTCACGAATATCATCTTGAGGGATTTCTTGCCATGTTTGACGCAATAATCCTAAAAGTTTGGACTTAGAAGATTGCTTCCTGTTCTTTTTGCAGAGTTTTCGATCCAATATGCCCCAAAGGTGTTCAATAGGGTTAATATCTGGGGACTGACTTGGCCATGGACGTTTACTGATCCCATTTTGTCTCAACCAATGTTGCGTTGCTTGCGCAGTGTGACATGAAGCTCCATCTTCCATAAATAGGGAGTCAACTTTGCTCATTCTACTACTTGAGAATATTGGAAGGAGCCCTTTCTTTAATATAGAAACATATTTGGTTGAATTAATGTTTCCTTCACACTCCACAAGCTCTGAGCGACCATCACTTCAAATTGTACCACATACCATTACTGAAAGGCCCCCATGTTTCACCGTTGGCTGCAGTCTTTTTAAATCAAACTCTTGACTACAGAGTCTTCATACCCATACTCTTCCACTGTTGGAAAATAATGCGAATCTTGACTCATCAGAGAAAATGACAGTGGTCCGAAAGGTCACAGGTCTCTCCACCATCTCATGAGCCCAATCCTTTCTGCGTTTGATATTGGCTGGACGGAGAAGTGGTTTCCTTCTCGCAGCTCTGCCATAGTAGCCCAGCTTGTGAAGATACCTGACAGCTGTTCTGGGACTGACATCAACTTGTGTTGCTATGTCAGAGGCCTTGCAACGTGGATCCTGTTCAACATTTCTTTCGACAAGACGCATGGTTCTTTCAGAGGGCCCAGGGCGGCCTAGATGAGGTTTTGTGCACCTCTTGCCCTCTCTGGTGAATTGTACGATCACTCCATTAACAGTAGAAAGGGGTATTGAAAGATCTTCAGATATTTTTCTTTGACTAAGACCACCTTCATGTTGGCCCACGATACGTCCTCGCTGAAATTCGGATCGGTCTGATGCTCCTTTGGTTCGTGGCATGTTCCAGTATTGTCATCTGCAATTTTAATCAAATAATCCAAGTTAATTTATCTTGGTTATTAAAAAAAAATCAGAAATAAAGTTTATCTTGGTGTCTATTCAATTCTGTCATGTCTGTGTACATATATATATAGACATTTTATGTTTATACACTCTTTTTATAGATACAAATATTTAAGTAAATGCTCTGTTTATAATAAACAGTATTAAACAACATTTACAGGCCTGAATATCCGAGAAATTTTCATAGAAAATATTCGTTCTCCGACAGGATTCGAACCTGTATCCAATACGGAACCGTCATATAGCCTGACGTGCCTTTTAACCGATTCGGCCACAGAAGAACCGAACCATCCTCTGTGGACATTCGGGCCGGTAAATGTTGTTTAATACTGTTTATTATAAACAGAGCATTTACTTAAATATTTGTATCTATATAAAGAATGTAAAAACATAAAATGTCTTAAAATAATTGTCGGACTTTATCCATTTCATAATGTGTGACGTCATTTGTTTACATTTGCTACACCATGAGCAGATATGAATGTACGTGAGAGAATCATGGAATATTGTAGTTTAAAGACAGTAAAATCGACCTTGCTAACCGAACGATCCTCTGTGGCCGAATCGATTAAAAGGCACGTCAGGCTATATGACGGTTCCGTATAGGATACAGGTTCTAATCTTATCGGAGGACGAATATTTTCTATGAAAATTTCTCGGACATTCAGGCTGTTTAATACTGTTTATTATAAACAGAGCATTTACTTAAATATTTGTATCTATAAAAAGAATGTATAAACATAAAATGTCTTAAAATAATTGTAGTTCTTTGTCCATTTCATAAATATATATATGTGTGTGCATATCTATATATATATAGAGAGAGATTTAGTATGTTATATTTTTCCTTCTTCTATGTGCCACGTCCCTTCAGGATATGGGCGATCATGGCTCTCTAAAATTTCCCTTGTCGCCTTTAGTAGTTTTTCTACTTTTGCTAAGGCTCTCCCGTTTCGTTATGCATTCACACTAACTCATCAAGTAGGTGGATCGCTGCCTTTCTCTATTTTTCGCTGCCCCCCTATCTCTCGCTGCCTTATCCTATCCCTCGTTGCCTTCTCGCTATCCCTCGCTGCCTTATCCTATCCCTCGCTGCCTTATCCTATCTCTCTCTGCCTTATCTATCTCTCTCTGCCTTCTTGCTATCCCTCGCTGCCTTATCCTATCCCTCGTTGCCTTCTCGCTATCCCTCGCTGCCTTATCCTATCTCTCTCTGCCTTATCCTATCTCTCTCTGCCTTATCCTATCTCTCTCTGCCTTCTTGCTATCCCGCGCTGCCTTATCCTATCTCTCTCTGCCTTCTCGCTATCCCTCGCTGCTTTATCCTATCTCTCGTTGCCTTCTCGCCATCTCTCGCTGCCTTTCCCTATATCTCGCAGCCTTTATCAGAAAATTTTAATATGTACAATAGTCCGCGTGTAAATTGTTGCTGTAATAACAAAAATAAAGATGAAGTCAATAACTCTTCATCCCAGAAATTCAGACAAAAGAGAAAATTTTAAATTTAAATAAGCGTTTATAAATAAATATATTCTATCGATAATAAAATATTCTTATCTGACACTGAGGAGCGATATAATCACGAAATGTAATAGTCTGTCATAGTTAATTATTAATGGACATTCTATTCATTGATAAAATTCCCTAATACCTCAAAATAACAGGAATTGTGGTTTTATTTATTTATTTTTAATGTTTACAACATTGGAAATAGACTGCTGCCATTTCGAACATGTTCTCAAACTCTTGGTGCTCATTCGAATGTTGTTGTTGTTTTAATTTTCAGTTGAGTCCCGAATTTTGCGGAAACTCTGTTAGCATGACAATCTCGTCACTGGTTCGATGACAATTTTCAATGATTCATGGCAAACTTTTCAAGATGTCCGTCATTTCGAATTATTGACGGTCATAATTGGTTTTAAGCGTTAGTGACTTTTCAGTCACCATTTTGCAGCCGCCTTTTGATAGTCAATGTTTCGCAGTCAACATTTCTCATTCGCACGTGTTATCAAAGAGTCATCGGCAGTGGCGGAACATATGGGGGTGCAGGGAGGGGCAGCCGTTCCAGGGCGCACCATCATGGTGTGCAAAATCGTTCGGTGATTAGCAAGTTTATTGCCGGGGCTGGGAGTGCATTGCAGGCGAAATTAAAACCAAGTTAAGTTAGGGTAGGCCAAGTTTTAACACATTTATCGGAGAAATTGTCGAGAAATCAATTCAAAATGTTGTGTAGGAGGATCTAAAATTTCCTCCTTTTTTATTTACTTTAATATCCATTTTGTGACTGCCCGCAGATACTTATTTCATTAATGGCGCGTCATGAATTATTTTGGCGACGGCGCTCAGTAGTTCTTCGATCATGCGCAGTGCAGGCGGAAGTGCATGCCGGCTAAAACGTGAAATGTGTTAAAGAAGCAGTAAAAAGGGTTGTTTAATTCTGTTTTCCCTCAGTTGAGGCCAGAGTGCAAAACTAATCTATATTAATGTTTTAAGATATATTCCTGGTATTTCTTTGTAAAATGATAATAATGGTAATTTTTCTCGTCTCCTCAACTGGTACATTATAGCATTTCAATGACTATATAAAACATTTAGATATAATGATCTTATTGTAACTCAGTGTCGGACATATATTCCCATTTTTTGATGCGAAAAAATTCAAAAGTTTTATGGCAAATTTTTAGTTGTCGTTAGCGATGGCAAAAGCGTTGTAGAGTATGTTTGTAGCCTTCGCTGTATTATTATTATTATTATTATTATTTGATTATACTACGCCGATAAACTCAATGAAGGTCTTTGAAGTTTATTACGGAAAACCGTAAACTCCCGCTGAGTATATAGGGAAAATGCTTTATTGAAACGTATATATGTATTCGGCTGTAATGTTCTGCTATTGACCCTCTTTTGTTTATTTCAATAAACCCCCTTTTTAGACAAATTAGGCTCACGATCTTTATATAACTGAGGGGGACAGCTATATTTTTATTTCCTTTTTATTTCAGACAAATTTTAAGAATGGAGCGATATCGTCAACAAAAGAAGAAATAATCTGGCGCGGAAGAAAGAAATCGAAGGAAAAGAGAATGCGATGATCTACAGACATCCAGTCAAGTTATGAAGATGTTTCTAAAAATACCACGCCCAGATGGAGAGGATGACAATCGCGTTGTTTCCTCGTTTGTTCTTGCTACTGATTCTAACTACACAGACAGAGCACCAGGGTCAGTGGAGCAATCGTCATCTTCACTAGTGCTGCCAACACCAATAAACACCTTTAGCACTACCGCCTGTACCATCAAAAGCAAAGAAAACGGTTTTATTAGATGATTCCAATCAGCCTTCATCTTCGTTTCATTGCCAATCTGATGAACATGAACAATATGATGAAACTAAATATGCAGTATTAATCATGAAAGATGTAGGTTGCTTAAATGTGTATGTAAATTGTGATAAACCACAAATTTCTTATGATCTATGCATACAAATGGTGAAGATGGGTGCTAAAGCTTTTCAGAACAAAGGCGACCATATCAAAGTTACAAAAGATGGGGAAATTATTGAGAGTTGATGTGTTGAAGAAGCGATAAGAAGTGAAATGAGCACAAAACATGGGTGGGTGTCGACGGCAGCTTCACGAATTACTGGTTTTTAAAAAAAACTGCAGGATGGAGCTACAATTCCGTGTAATTGGTTGTTGTACTCTATTAAAAATGATGCATTGTATTGTTTTGGCTGTTTATTGTTTTCAATAGACCTAGTCAAATAAAGCTCGGTATTCAAAATAATTTTGTGGATTTTGAAAATGGAAAAAATGCAACAAAGAATACTAGAACATGAACAGTGCACTCATCACTGTGCATCATTTCTTGCATGGAAAGACTTTGAGAGATGCATACCAGAAATGGTCTATGATTGACTGACTAATAATGAACGATATCGAGGTACAGAAGCAATTGTGGAAGGATCTTCTCTCATGCGTTTTATGGATTATATCCAGTTTTTGGCGACTCAACATCGGGCATTTCATAGACACCTAGAAGTCATTGCATCAAATAATAATCTCTGTAATTTCCTTGCACTCATTAAGCTACTTACCAATTACCATCCTCTGTTGCAGCATCACTTGGATTATATCAAGTCGCATCCACATTCTGCAACATTTTTGTCTGACAAGATACAGAATAAGTTCATTGAGCTATTAGGCAACAAAGTACGTCAGTCTATCGCACAGAGAGTCAAAAAAAGTAGATACTATGTGATTATGTTCGACATAACTCCTGACGTTTCTTCACAACGAACAAAAGTCTAAATTTTCAGGTTAGTCGATGTCGACAACGAATCTACAACTGCTGTAGTCAAAGAAATGTTCATTGATTTTATTAAAATTCATGAAAACGTCGCCGAGAGTGTTACAGAAGAAATTACCTCAAAATTGGAACAAAATGGTCTTGATTTGAACGACTGCTGTTGACAAACGTATGACAATGCTGCAGCAATAATTGGGAAGGTGTCCAGAAACACATATAGAGAAACTCGAAAGCAATTTTTGTGAAGTGTGACAACCATTCTTTGGATTTTTTGGTCGTGGGGCGTGCATGTAACACCAGAACGCGTGTTTATTATATAATTTTTTTTGAGTTCTTGATTCATTGTACAAATTTTTTTCCAGCTCAACAATGCAGTGAGAAAAATTGAAGGACACAGCTATAAAGCGGTCACCTGATACAAGATGGGGTGCTGAGTGTGATGCTGTTCACGTTTTAAAAATGAATTTGGATGACAAGCTAAATTATTGGAAGACATAGCAAGTGACACTTCATAATCAGTTGATACAAGAAGCGACGCCAGCTGCTTGCTGCACAACATGTAAACTTTCCGCTTTCTAATTTATCATCAAGCCTGGTCATATGTTTCGGATTTAGGAATTCAAAATAAATGAATTGCCCTAGTCTTGATATCTTTTAATAAAGGTTTTGTCAATGCACAGTTTTTGTCAGATCAAATAAAAATATATTTGAATTGTATTTAAATACTTTTTCAGAGCATTTGTATTTATGTGAAGAAGCATTTAGATTTAGATTTTTGTCTAATTTCAGAAGTATTTGTATTTGTTTTTGTATTTTTATAATCTGGAAAGAAATTGTATTTATATTTGTATTTCCAATTATATCACCTCATTAATCGCTGGAAGTATTTGTTGTTGGTCATTGGTTGTGGTAGGGGCGCGAGTCGAGCTCCTTACAACCCTCACGCCCGGGACCAAAACCTCGGTAATCATCGGTTTTGGGAAGTAGCTTAGTGACACTACAAGTCACATCGTAGCATCAAATGAAAGAAAATAAACATTCTTCTTTTAAATAAATATTTCAATTGAAAATAGACATCCGGAGTGTATTTTTTTAAAGACTGTATCTTTTTCTAATATTTTTCTTAAAAATATTTAAATTGTCATTATATTCGGTAGAAAGGCTGATTTCAAAGAATATTTTATTAAAACAGTTTTTTAATTGCAATAATATTGAAATAAAAATATTTGCAATATTTTTTATATTTGCTCTTTAGTCATTTTTCAGAAATATAACGCCATTTTTTTTACATCACTGCACTTTGCTATTGTGCCCTAGATTTTAAGCTTATAATACAATTTTGCTGTGGGTATTTGACTCATACTACAGTGTACCCCACAAAAAAACATCACATCAAACATTTGCGTTTTTATTCTGTTTTAAGCTACTAAATATCTATCCTTTGCATTTGTTTCAAATAAATGTAACAAAAATTCCAACAACTAACAAAAAGCAAGAAATGTTTTACTGTACTGTACTTTCCTGTACCAACTTTCTTTTATCTTTGTGGGGCACCCTGTGTACTAATCGTTTTTATATTATTTGTGGATTTGCCATGATTTCATGGGAGAGATAGTGGCCTTCTCATTGTATTGAATTCAGAATTGTCCTTCGTGATCGGCTGTCACCCAGTACCTGGAAAGTCCAGTTTATCCTGTTTTGTTAACTACAGCCAGTGGGGGAGGGAAGAGAAAATGAAATGACATTTGTACAAAAGTCAACGCACCAAACTAGCCCGGAATTTGAACTCGTCCCGCCATTTCCACTTTCCTCGACAATAGCCATTATGTTACCCCGCAGATCACTCACAAATGAATAGATAAAATAAACTGGATGAATACAGAAACTGTGATACATCTTTACTTTTTTTTAACAAAAGTTCACCCAATACAGAGCCCCATAGTCATTTCATGGTAGAACGAGGGGGGATATGAACGGTAGAATGAGGAGGGATATGAACGGTAGAATGAGGGGGCATGAACTGTAGAATGAGGGAGGATATGAACGGTAGAATGAGGAGGGATATGAACTGTGGAATGAGGGGGGATATGAA